CTGTGCCAGAGGCTCTACAAAGGGCTCCTAACATCTGTTTGAGACTAGATTCCTGCTCTGTGTTGTAGTAAGAATAATAGTCTCACTCTGAGGGCTTGTTCCCTCATCAGACAGGATCATGAGCACGCATATACAATCTCTAACATCAGACCGCAGCCCTGCAGAGCTGAGAAACAGCTTAAACGCTGTTCTTGGTATTCATACACCGCACCTCAGCACGGGTGGACAGGTGGAGCATCACTTGGGTGACGGGGACTCGCTCAAAGCAACAGCACAATTAAATTAGCAAGAATCAGGTCCAGTATAATGCTGTAAATGTCCACTCGGGATAAAGAAGACTGAGCCAAAGAACATCGAGGAAGGAAAAAACTTATAACTCTGCTCCTTGTATCATGGATAAGAAGGAAGTTTATTCCACGAAACACAACTTTTATTGTTCCAGTTTATAGTTAAGTCGGGCCTCTGATGAAAAGAGAAAAACCACAAGTTTGGAGTATGGATAATTAACTGCTAAACCAAAATGTTAGAGACAAACTTGAAGTATTCCTACCAAGGTTTTCCCTTTGGTTTAAAAAAAAAGGGACGTCTCTGTTGGTGTCATAACAAGGATCTTTTTTTCCCCTCTCCCAAGAACATATGTAAGCAATTTGTATAACAAATGTTGGTTTTAGACTGTTTCCCTTGCATACAAGTGGCTTCTCAAAACCTACAGGGCTCCATTCGTTAGTGCTTGAAAGCAAAGCAAACAAATTAATTAACACTATCTTTACATGGGGTGGCCAAGGAAAGCAGGCGCTGAAATGTTACACCATTACCTAAATTCGCATCTGTCTGTGCCCCCCCCCCCCCATGCCTGCCCTAGTCCTCCCCCCCAATGTGTACTCTCCCAACCCTGCCCCAGCGCACACAGCGCCCTTGAACAAGGCTGAAGGACCACCTGTGTGAAAGAGGAGACCCTCTCTGTTATGTCTCTGCTAGGGAATGAAATAACATGGAATCCAGCTCTGCAAATAACTCACAGTGAAGATCATTTTCCACATGCTGGTTGACAAAAGGTAAAATAAGAACAGATGATATCCCCTCTCTCTCTGGATGTTTGTAGCTCTGCTCTAAGGCTTATGCTTCGCAGCCTTTCTTTACACTTACAGTTGTCCAGCTCTGCGTGCAGGCAGACGGGAGGCCCTGACCCCTTTAGCGGCCTCATTAGCTGAGCAGTATGCGATATGAGGCCTCAGTCTTATACTGAGTCAGCCTTTTTTTTTTAAATGCCCTCACTGGGGTAAAGTTGAGAGGGTTTTGAGGAATCTGATCCTAGATCTGTGTGCCATCATAAGAAGCTGGAGGTCTTCTTCTAAACTGAGCATCCGTCAGAGTGAAGAGGCTCCACTGTGACTCTGGCCAAGACGTAGTCCAGCACGTAACCTCCCGTGAACCCTGTGTTATTTTGAAACTCGGGTTTTTGTAGCGATCAAGCAAACAAGACATAACATGGTAGGAACTGAGGCGATGGTGGGGGAAATGGAGCCAGCAGATCTGTTTTTTCTTGTTTCCAGTCTTCATGTTAAGCCAGGGCTGACTCTAGCTGTTTTGATGCCCTAGGCAAGATCAGAAAGCAGTGGCCTCCAACAGCTGTAATGAGCTCATATCATAACCTGATGATGTCCGCTGCGTAACAAACGATCGGACTGTAAGATTGGCATTCTGTGTGTGGATCTTACAGCTGCAGGTAACCCCAAAGAAGCTGCAGGTATTTAATAAGCTCAGAAGAAAGACTCCTACAAACAGCAGAAAGCAACAAGCGCTACTGTCGCGTTTAATTTTATATTTACAATCTAGTGATTCTTACCTCCATATTCTTCTGTCTTCCTCCCCTTCCTCTCTCTTTTTTTTGCGCCACTTTCAGCGCCTTGTGTTTCTGATCATTTTAAAACCTTTCATGAGTCATTTCGCAGATGTGATTCGAAGGCGGGATTAGACGCAGACATGGAGGATAGCGCACATGCTATCAGGAACTGGTTTCGCGTATCACATCACGATAGCAGGCAGTGTTTACTCATGTTGTGCACATGAGACTGACGGTTCAAAAAGCGCACTAGATTTATTATTGTAAATAAAAATCTACTTTTGTTGATGATGTTGTTACTGATCTCTTGGCCTTTCAGATCCTAGGCAACCAGACCGGCTCTGTGCTAAGCTAAGCAGCTGCTTGATTCTGTTTACTGTGAGACCTGCTTTAGTCTTCCCACCTAAATCTGGGCATGAAAATGTATCTTGTGTATCATAAGAAAAACTTTAAACTTCAATAATGACTCTGACAAGCATCTCCGGAGAGATTCATAATCAAATTAAGCACACCTCAGTCTGTGCATTTCTTTTCCTTGCAGGCCTTTGTTCACCTCTTGGAGGAGGACACATAAGAAGTTGCTCTAATCCAAATAAACAGGTGAGGTGCTTATTAGCCCCCCTGTTCCCAGTGCAAGTGTAACTTCATTTTCAATTCTGACTCTCTCTCTCTCTCTGTGACTCACGGGAGAGCAACTTCAAAGCTGTAGCTTAATGCACTTGAGGTCATTATCTTCATTTCTATATCCTCTGCAGGTTCTCAGCATATGGGAACATTTTGACTCTGGATTTTTTTTTCATCTGCAGCCATAAATCTGCCATGTCAACTATAAAATATGGCAGACCAGCAACAGATGTAGCTCTAATAGCTACCAAAAAAGAAAAAAAAAAGTAGAAGAAATCAAAATTTACCACCACTACATTTTTATTCTAACATAGATTGATTTCAGTTTTGTACAGAGGTGATGGACACCAAGCGAAAATCAGAGGAGGCCCGTGGGGAGGGAGGAAAAGTGTGTTTCCTTTTAATGTTCTGTTATTCTTGCTCAGTCACTTTCTTTCTCCTCTTCCCCCTTTTCTTTAATCCTTCTCCTTCCACCCTTTTAGCTGAGACCAATTCTCCTTTCATCCTCCTCGGCAGCGAGGGCCCTGGTGTCTGTTCACACAAAGCCTGCCCATCAGTGACTCCTCATCAACCCCTTTTTGCCCAATTCATCAAGCAGAGGCCCATGGGCATTTATCACCCCTACCACCTTTCATATCCTGCACCAGCTGAAAGCCACTGTCCCTCCTCTGACTTCAATGCAGCCATGACACACCCCTAAGATTTATGGAGGCATAATTAGTAGCAGTGAAAAAGGCTTGCATGCTTTGGAAGGTCAATCATACTGTATCCCACTCCGAGAAACTCTGAAAGCCGCTAACATCTGCTTCAAAATAGATTGCGCCAGTGCCACAAAAGCTGATAAATTAGCCCCAAAAAACAAGAAGCCAAGAGATCCATCTAAAGCCTGACAGTGACATCAAAACAATCATACACACTTTGGGTGATTTTAACACGCTGTTCGTCACTGTTCATTGGAAGTGAGACACTGTCATAAATCCCCTTTCTCTACAGGGAAGCTGCTGCTGCTGCCTGTGATGAGCAGCTCTGAGGTGAGAACTCCCCCTCAGGACGGGGGTTTCTGAAAGCAGCTTGAGGGAGGTCTAAAACAACACACCTTAATAGTTAAGTGATGTTATTCATGTAATCACTCCCCTCTCCTTCCTTCTAAACCCATCCTGCTGTCACTGATATCTCAAGAACAGTGAACTAATTAAAACGCTCCCGGAGTTTAGTTTTGATCTTCGAACAGGAATACAGTCTTCACCAAACAGCTTTGTTTCTCTCTCTCTCTCTCTCTCTCTCTCTCTCTCTCTCTCTCTCTCTCTC